ATGGTACGTTGGGCAATGCCAACTCAATTCATCTATAGGAAAACAGAAAACATGCTGCAATGTAAATGTACTGCTTTACCTAGAAATTAATCATGTAATAGAAAAAATGGGGTTTCTTTTCCATAATTTGTGATTGTCAATTAAAATTTCTAACTAGTGACATACTGTCTCTTGCCCAAATGTCATTACGCCCAAAGCCAAATGACATATTGTGACTTTCCCCCAAATATCTGTGTATCCTAAGCACACTGTGTCAAGAAGACAGATCCAAAGACTTGATTTATGTTGCCGCCTGACAGATGATGTCCATGAGGCATGCTGTCTAAATGGACTGCACTCCGGCAGTTACCTTAGTCATCAATTCTCAGAGAATTAATGAGCACCATTCATCCCAATAACAGAAACCAAGGTCAGGGCCTCTTCCTTGCTCTGTAATTCCATTAGCATTGCACAAAAAGCAGTCCGGGTCATAAGCTCTGTGGACCTTATCACTGAGCAAATGGAGCTGCATCTTGTTCCCAGGGAGAATCCTCGCTGAGCACACCCCTTGTCAGAGATCTGTTGTACATCAACATCGAATGTACTTACACGTGTAGGGGAAGTGATGGTAAAGAAAAAGGGGGACTCGCCTTCTGCTGCCAGGAACTTCAAGTACTACTTTAGTTCAAGTAAATGCCAACGGAAAACATTTGTCATAAAACCATGTCAGATACTTGCAATTACTGAGCAGGCAGTTTTAAATTGTGCACTCAGTCATATTTTATGTAAGTTCCCTCGGCCATCCTGCGTGGCTGCCATAGAACTTATTTTTGTTTTCATTCTCTTATTATGTTTTTTATTCTTTTATTTTAGTTTTTATTCTAACTACTCTAAGAAAGTTAAAATGGCCCTGGAACTAAGTGTTATCACCTACACAGATAATTCTGTGTACAGCAAATCTCTCCTCCTAAAGCCCCAGCAACATGTTTTTTAAGATTGTCTCAGTCAGCCCTGCTCCTCAAAGTTCACCTTGCTTTCACTCACCCACATACTAGAACAAGAGGGAAGAAACCCCAAGGTTTAAAGCCACAGGCAAAGGTTTGAATATAGGCTTTGGCACTTACTTGTTTTCTTAACTGTAAAACAAGTGTGACTATTACTTTTTTTCCATTTACTTCACAATGTTGATGTAAGGGTTTAAAATAAGTACCAATGTGTGGCACACAGCTGTAATCCCAACAGCTTGAGAGGCTGAGGCAGAAGGATCGAAAGTTCAGGAGTGGGAGCTGTTTATTGTAGGACAACAGAGGTATTTATACATTCCACACAGCTTATATTCATTAGCATAAACTAGATACAGCAGTCAACCAATAAGGAATCTCCACACTTAATGGCTCGCTGGCGTTACTTCACAAACCACTCCCTCTGGCAAAATGCCAGGCGCCATCCTGACTTGTTTACAGACCCTAATAATTCCAGGCACCATCCTGACTTGTTTATAGACTCTAACAAAGGTCAGCTTCAGCAACTTAGTGAGTCCCTAAGCCACTTAGAAAGACCCTGTTTCAAAATAAAGAGCAAGGGGGCTGAGGGTGTGGCTCAGTGGTTAAGTGCCACTGGGTTCAATCCCCAGTACCAAAAATTAATTAATTAAATAGGTACTTAGTACAATGCCTGGAAATTAACAAATTATAGTGTAATGTTGTTTTTATTGTTGTTGAGCTCACAACATGTGTGTGTGTGTGTGTGTGTGTGTGTGTGTGTGTAGACTATATTTTGAAACTTCCGGGGGGTTGGGAGGTTATGCCCAGAGCCATGAACAAGTCAAAAACAGCGCATGACTCAAATACCATTTGCTGTATGATATTTTGAATGATATTTTTAAATTTCCTTTCAAATGTCAATGTTTCTTTTAAAAAATCTATTTTTTAGTTATAGGTGGACACATATCTTTATTTATTTTTATGGGGTTCTGAGTATCAGACCCAGTGCTTCATGCATGCTAGGTGAGTGCTCTACCTCTGAGTCACAACCCCAGCCCCTCAAATGTCAGTGTTTCTAATGCCCAAAGAAATGTTGCCGTGCCAGGAAGTCCTAACTAAACAGGGTCTGAAGACTCTCCAACTTCCTCTCCTCTCCTCACATCTCTCCTGGCAAAAGACAACTTCAAGCCGAGTTCCTGGCTGCCACCCTCCCCTGGGTCAGGGCCACTCATGAAGTGTTTGGGATTGCTGGCTTAGAGGCAGGCTGCAGTCCAAGTAAAAGCACCAGGTGCTCACAGACAGCTAACAGGTTAGAGATCAGAGACAACAAAGTCAAGAGAGGCGGAGCAACTCATAGGAGGAGCGAAGGCTCTGCTGCTGGGAGAACCACGGTTCTGATCCCTATGTGACCTCAGGAAGATTACTAACCGCTGTAGCCTGCTTCCTCTACTGTGAATGTAGTGATACCTGGCGCCTTGTATGCTTTGTTAAGGATTATATTATACACATGTTCATGTGGAAACAATGGGGGGTGTCACAGCACAATGATTGGCTCAGGTAAGTACTCATAAATCATAAGAGGCAGGAAGAAAAGAAGTTGTTAATAAGTCAATAAATATGAAAGTAGATATTAGATCTATACTGTGTTGATTTCCCTGTGGATAATAAATTCTTACTTATAAGTTGATACTTTCCTACAAAGATCTGCAACATTTTTTTGTGTAAAATCAGAGAGACTCTTGACCTCATCCAGTGTCTTTTTAATTCCCAAACACATCTCTTTTATAAATGAAACTGTTTTCATGTGTAATTTTTAGGGATTAGTGCCCATATGATCCTATAGTAAGCAGTGTTCTTTAAGTTTTAGTAGTGTTCCAGGTTTATCTCACATGAAAGAAAAGAAAGTTGAAACCTACACACACACACAAAAAAAAAAAAATAGTGAGATCAAAACTATTTAAAAGTTAACAACAAAAAGAATATCACTTGATATTTATAGATCGATTCTTATGTATCAAGCTTTCTACATGTGGTAACTAACTCATTTAATCCTCAGAACCATCCTGTGAGGGCAGTAATATTATTATTCCAATTTTGAAATTGAAAAACAGACTCAGAAGCCAAGGCACACCCTTATAATCCCAGCCACTCAGGAGGCTGAGGTAGGAGGTTCACGAGTTCAGGCCAGTCTGGACAACTTATCAAGCACTTGTCTGAAAATGAAAATAAAAAGAACTGGGGATAGAACTCATTGTTAGACCATATCTGGGTTCAATACCCAGTTCCACCACCGAAAAAAAAAGAAGAAGAAGAAGAAGAAAGAAAAACAAACTCTTAAGAGTTTAAGTAACTTTCCAAAAGTTACACGGTTCGTAAATTCAGAGAGACCAAATCATTTGTAGACCATTTTAAGACACTGTTGAACATGAAAAGGAACAAAAACAGGAAAAAAAAGTTCACCCTAATTATGGTTGAAGAACAAACACCTTGCAATGCCTACATCGATTTGTAAATCACTAATTGTTCTTATAGCATTTTTAACTGAGAAATCTATTATTCTAAAATTCGAAGATGATCATTAGTATGCTCTAAGGAAGGTATTCTTAATTAAAGCCATTAGTGCTTATGGTAAATAAAAATGTGTTTGTGTTTCCAACGTGATGAGTTCTACTTCAGGGACACAGGCTCAGCCAATATTTTCATATGCTATCTATAACCTTTCAGAGTGGAAGAGTGAACAAGGTGCAGGTTCATTAACTCACTAATTGTCCTTCCTTATCATGGTTGTTAGCTGATGTTCTGCCTTTCTATGCAACACATGCACAAAATTGATAGTTCAGGGCATAGACATCCTTAGAGCATATGGATGATGAATTTTTCCTTCCCCTGTTTGTGCAGTTTAAATCAATACCTGATTTCAAAGAGTGAGCAAAAAGATAGGGGCTGGTTGTCTTGAAGGGAGAAAGGAAAGGGAACAGGTTTCTAGATTACAAACTCCTTGAGGGGATTAACAGGGGCACCATATGCTATTAATATCTAATCCCAGAAATAGTTACCTTGATAGGTACTCAACCATTTACATAGAATAGAAGCTAGGAAAATCTATACTCCCATGTCTCTTGCTCTTTCCACTCATAATAAGTAATAAAAATTAAGTCAATGTTTTTGTTCTAGAGAGTCAGGTAATATATTACATCAGTTCAAAAATATTTCTATGTTTTAATATCTCAGCAATTAGAGAGCATCTTGGAGTGAATGGAGTGTCATAGTTTAATTGGCAACATTCCTTTCATTTTCCCTTTGCATGGAAAGATTTGTCTTACCGTCAGTGGCATCTTAAATTTGATGTGCTTCATTATGTATCAGACATTAGCAAGTTCCCAAGGCCATATAATAAAGCAAATCAGATGAAGAGAAGATTGCAACGTGTTGCCTTTTAAACTAAAGTTAACTAGATTAAAGGGAAGTTGGCCAGAACTTCTTCACCAGGTGGCTACTGCCTGAATTTGTACATTATTTCTTTCCCTTTTCCTCCTTTCAGTAAAATAGAAAGGGAAAGAAATTAATTCCTATGCCTTTCTAAAACTATTATTGTTTCTAGAATACGAACTCTTAGTGCACAATGTTCTCCATCTATGATTCTCAAATGCTCATAGGTACTGGACTCTCTCAAGGAGTTTCTTGGAAACCCATGGTCCTCATCCCTCGTCTGGACATTCAGATTCAGCTGGTCTGGGATGAGGCCCAGATAGCTATACATTTAATCCCAGGGTCATTATGATGCATCCAAAGTTTGAGAACCTCTAGTATATTTGTTTGGACTTGGCCTATCACTGCAAAGGGCTTGAATTTAGTAACTCTGGTCTCAGTGATATGCACAAGACCATATTTGATAGAAATGATTGCAATTTCAAAAGGCAAATGCACTGAGTCAAGAAGAAATTCTGACATTGCATTGTTCTCTTTGGGACTGGGACTAAAGGATAGAACTTGCATTGGTGATGTCCCTGATACCTATTTCTGTTGGGGTTTTTTTAGCTGTGCCCCATAAAATCGGACGCATCATTGATGGAAGTCCTGCAGATCGCTGTGCAAAACTAAAAGTGGGAGACCGGATCTTAGCAGTGAACGGCCAGTCCATCATCAACATGCCTCACGCTGACATCGTGAAGCTCATCAAGGACGCAGGCCTTAGTGTCACCCTTCGCATCATTCCTCAGGAGGGTGAGTGCCTGAGGCGGCCTTTCAGAAAGACAGTCAAAACAGGGACATGCTCACCGGGGGCTTCTCAGCCTGCCTGCCAGGATGTGGAGTCAGCGTGTTGTTAGAATGCCAGAGATCAATTGTCGTCTCCACTCTTGTACAAACTCACACTCCATTGCAGCCCACATCCTGGCTACTCACCACCAGTTTTATTTAGAAATCAAGCTATGGTGGCATTGCAGGCTCACTAGTGTGAATCCCAAGACACTGGCTTATCCGATCATTCCCTGTGGTCTCAGGAATACTGTTTTTTATGGTTCTATTAAGTTATATTAAGCCAGAACTCACTCAACAGAGTTAAAAACCTGGAAAAAGGAAAAACAAAAACTATTCACGTTAACAGTTAACCTCTGGAGAATTCTTCAAAGTCAGATTGATTTTGAAAAGCTTGAAGAAGTTTTGTGGTCTAAAGAGAGCTCATTTAGAAAATGTTGCATCTGATAAGAATTTAAAATTCCCACTCAGCCTCTTGAATTTCTCTGTACAAGGACTCCCCCGTGAGGCCTGCAGAGTTTCTGAGCACCCCAGCTCACAGCCCAGGCCTGGAGGGCCGCAGTTCTGAGTACCATGCACCATTGCCACACACAGTGGGGTTGTTACTGGTTTGTAGCTATTGGCTCATTAGCGATATTGAAAGATTCAGTCCCTGGAGCTCTCTGGGTCCCACACAGAGGCTAATGGGCTTCTTTAACTTGGCACCCTCTCTTTTATTCAACCCCGCTTCCCATTCCACCTTCGGACTATCTATCATGCAGGCACAACTGACCAAACTGCCACCTGATTTAAATGTAAAACAGTAGCTCCCAACCAGGGTGATTTTGTTCCCCTGGGGGGATATTTGAGGATATCTAGAGACATTTTTGGCTTTCAAAATTGGGATGGAGATGCAATTGTCACCTAGTCTGCAGAGGACAGAAATGCTGTTAATCATCCTACAAGGCACAGGACAACCTCCGCAAAGAACTACCAGGTCCAAAATGTTGGGAGTACTGAGGTTGAAAAACCCTGATACAAATGGAAAACAAATTAAAATATCTGGGCTATGAGAAAAGAAAGAGAAAGAGTGGTTTATAATGGAAAGCCAAAAAAGTAACCCCTGTTTTATCACAAAACCAAAGAGAGAAGTCAATGAGCAGGTTTGTTTTAACCTATCATCACACACACCAACATGTATAACATATTTAGTGAAAACAAATTCTAAGCACGATTGCTTACTAAAATTCCAACTTCTTTCTCAGTCTTCCTAGTTTGAAATGTGTTTGTCCTGCCCTTATTCTAACATCTAGAGATAATTTCAGTTGAACCTTTGATGTTATTGGCAGTGAGGGAGTGGGGCAGGGAGACAAGAAGCAATTGTTGAAAAGAACAGACTTATAAATCTTCCTGTGTCCAGAAATCTTTTCTTTCTGGAGAACTGTGGAGTACAGAAGACTATTAACAGGGATGACAAGGGGCTGGGGAAGAGATTGTAAAAGGCATACTAGTTTATGTCTAGTTATTTACCCAAACTTTATAAGAACATTAAAACTTCTCATTACAGTCCAAAAGTGGTGGCTAAAGTGTTACTCTCAGCAAACAATGCTGGAAACAGAATATTCTTTAGAGCTTACTTCTTTGAATAATTCTTTCATGGTTTTGATGGGGTTTTATTTTTGCTTTTGTTTTGTCAATCTTTTCTTCTTACAAAATGTCAGGAGACTGTTCATTACTTTCTTCGGTAACCATTTTAATTAATGAAAGACCACTCATTCCAGGAGTAACAAAGCCTAACAAAAACAGAAATGACCAAAGCCTTGAGTCATCTGAGGAGGAGAGTCACCACCTCTGGCCATGTCTTGCCCCTGATCAAAAATGCCAACCTGACCACATCTGCCCCTTTGGTTTCCTATCACAGAGCTCAACAGCCCAGCCTCGGCACCCAGCTCCGAGAAGCAGAGCCCCATGGCCCAGCAGCACAGCCCCTTGGCCCAGCAGAGTCCTCTGGCCCAACCAAGCCCAGCCACCCCCAACAGCCCTGTCGCCCAACCAGCTCCTCCTCAGCCACTTCAGCTGCAAGGACATGAAAATAGGTAACGTTTGCTCTGACTTTTCTGATCCTGAGACTAAGGGAGGGGGAGAGGGAATGCTTGGGAACAAAGCAGAACACAGGCAGGGAGAGAGATTTTCACATAGTAGAAATTGCCATGTTTTCTCATGTGTGTGATTTTGAGATTGTGTATGTGTTGGATACATGGTTGTATTAGTAAACATAACTAAATGTCCTTCACAATGAGAGAAACTTTACTGGATGAGCAATTCTAGCAACTGAGGAGGGGTCAACTAGCCAAAGAGTATAATAAGGAGGTTCCAAAGTGAAGAACATGCAAAGATCCTCTGGCAGAGGAGGAAGCATGGAAGCAGAGGACAGAAATAAGGCCAAGGTCATGGTGGCAGGGTTTGAGGTGAAGCCAGTAAGGGTAGCAGGGCCCAAGCATAAAGGGTCTTGTAAGAGTTTTGATTTTTGTTTTTAGTGGGAGGTCACTGGAGGGTTGAAACTGATGAATGACATGAGATTCACTTTTCACAATCTCTCAGTGTGCCCTATAGAGAACCTGCTGGAGGCTGGCCAGGCAATGAGGGTTAAGCAATGGCAACGGGTCTGTAGAAGTCATTGGGCCACGAAGCTGCTGGCTTAGAGCATGGTGGTGGCACGGAGGGAGGAAATGTTGAGGGATTGGTAGGCATTGGTAGGCATTAATAAGTGTTCATACTTTCCTGTTTGGAATGAGTAATAACCTTAGGGTCTTCCATTCCACACACATAGCATTGTGAACTAATGTGAACAAGGCACTTTGAATCTGGAAAAAGGGATGCCATATAAAAATAACATTGTCTTCTTATCATTACTTGCATGTAACAGAGGGCCTGGGCTGCATTGAGCCATTAAAAAGAAAAAAAGGAAGACCTGTTCCCAATGCAATCTCCCCCATTCAACAAGAGAAAAACAGAAGGACTTATGGAAACATCTCTGAGTACAAACCCCTCGCTGGCCTTATCCATGGGCCCAGTGTCTGCTGAATATCTGTTTCCCATGCCCTGCCTCCCCTGTTGGTGAAGGTGAAGTGAGACTGTTGATGATTGCCAGAGCTCTTTGGGTTCATCATGTATACTGTTGTAAAACAAAAGATTTTTCCCTGTGCCGCAGGCGGTATTTCTAGAAAGCTCCATTCTCCTCCGATTTTCCCATGTGTTTTCATGGAAAACCGAGCATCTGGTTGTCCTCAGCTGTTTATGTTTTTAATATGTGCTGGGGAGGAGAAAATCCCCATAAAGCAGATGATGCAGAGGTAAGAATCTAACAAGCCATAAGAAGAGTAAGTCCTGGGTGCCTCAAGAATAAGCCCCCCATGAGCTGACTCCCACCATGTGCTATTTCAACAGATTGCACTGGCTTTCCCCCGGATCCAGTTAGACTCAGGAGGAAGGACTTAAGGCCCACACAGTCCCTCAGTCAGCTTCAGACTCTTCTTCTGGTCTTTGTCACTGTGGATTAATCTCGCAGCCATGTTCCATCTTCTCCTTTCAGAGTTGTACTCCCCTGGCCATGGGTCTTGCTTCTAGTCTGGGGTGGGGAATCTCATCCTTGGATGAGGAATCATCTCTTCTCTCCCTAATGTTAAGGAGCAAGTTAGTCCCTCCTCATTTGCAATCACTCATAGTCCCTCTGGGAGAGGTTCTCGGTGTGAAGGACAAGTGTGAGGACGCGGTGTAGTCTGTGTGGAGGACAGCCGTGAGTAAGGCCTCTGTGTGACCCCAGCTGCAACTAGCTCACAACTGGGACACTGTAGCTCCTATCATAGAAGGAATGGTCTTTGAAAAAGTTTGGGTTTTTTTTTTTTTCTGATTACAGAATAAAGTATTTCCTCATTCTTGGATTAACACATCAGTCTGATCCAAATTTTTTAAATCACCAGTGTATTTTCCCAGAGTTCTCACCTATTTCACTTGAGTAATGTTAACAGCCTGGAAGGTGCTCACTTCAATTCTAGGGTCTTTACAGGTTTTCAGACGTGGCTCTTTGATTGTTGGTTGTGGATCATTTGCACATGAATAAGGAGATTCAATAATCTCACAGATGTCAGAAACATTTTCATAAGTGCATTTAAAGATGGTCATGGTATCAGAGGAAAAACTTTTTCCTTTTTTTCTAAATTAGGCTAGAAATGTCTCCAAGACTGCTGATATGCCAAGTGCATTTGTACAAGAAATGCCCGCCTACATGTCAGATTGAGCCAATTCCCATGTTAGAATGGGATAAACTAAAATGACAATCTGCTTGCAAATTTCTGTTTTGTGAGTCAAAGTGATATTTTGTCCTGTCTTATTTACTTTTAGATTAACTTCCCATGACACCCTGCACACTTCTACCAATTTCTCCATCCCTTAACATCTTCTCGGTATGTGCTAGAAAACACAAATAATTGTAAAATGAACATAGGTAAAATACTATTCAAGGAGTAACATTTGTTGAAAACAAAAAGAACCCTTATAGAATATGTTACAAACCTACTCTAGAGCTTACATTTCTCAACAAGAGCAACTGATATTTGACTGGGATTGGAAGAGCATTAGAAATCGACACCTTTTACCAACCTTGAACCCTAGGATGCTCAAGGTTCAGGTCAATTCTTGAAGGACTCACAAGATGAAGAATTTTGTCTGGGCATCATATCTTGGTTCTGGAACTCATTCACAACCATAAAAAAATGTGCTAGAATTTACCATTAGCTATCTAGGTTTATATCTCTAACATCACGTTAATAATGGAATTAATAGCTACAAAGAATTATATGATGGCCTTCTTTCATAAGGAAAGGGACTTTAAAGAGCCTATTTTTAATGATTCTGATTTTTCCATAAAATGAATTGTGTCACTTATTCAAAGCAACATATTTTTTGCCCTAGCCAATGTATCATCCACTTAAAATTAGCAACACTCATAAAAAATTAGGCTTATTTTTCTTGCTAAAGTGTTCTTATTAAAGTGTTGTGAAGTTCAACTTAAAATCCTGACAACATGACACTGATTCAGAATAAAGTTTGAGTGCTTGGTGGCCTGGATGACAGCTGTTGCAAGTTTCAATTGTTCCTATTTCTAGTCATCTCTCTTTGGGGAGACCCTTACATTTCACCCTCTTTTGCTATACCTCCTGACACATCTGGTTGAAAACAGAACACATAATGGATATTTCATACTAATATCACACAGATCATGAAAATAAAGTAACTATGCTATAACTTAAAATAGCACTACATCAAAACCACCAAGCAAGTTATTTCTAGAAAAGAACCGACACACACCAACAAATGTCACCCAGTCTAATTCCTTTTGTTTAATGCATTCATTTGCATAGTTAAGCATCTTATTCAAAGCATATTTTAAATTATTCTGTTCTCAGCATGCACACTCTCAGTAGGTGAGTGGACTATTGAGGAATAAAGCAGAGCCTAAATTATGCAACTCACAAAAGGAACAGTTCTCCCCTCTGCAGGGTTAAGTAACGAATGGAATCTACTCAAAGTGGATTAAAATAACTATATCACTAACCCCCTTCCAAGAACCCCAAATAAACACATCTATTGTCTTGTACTTTTAGTATGTCCTCACCAACTATTAGATTTTAATAGTGGCAATTGTTCAGGTGAAGGATTTTTTAAAAATACTTAATACTAATCAGTATCAGTGAGACTATAAGCCAGGAAAGAAATTATCTAGTCTTAAAGGTTTTTTAAAAATCTACTGATTTTGAACCTGTTTTTCCTGATGCCTTTGAGCTTTTCTTTGGTGCTGAGTGTTTTCTCAATTCCTTATAACTTTCACGTTAATCTTAGATGAAATTGCTATTATATAGAATGTATTCTTTTTTAATCTACCTACATCCCTGGGTAGCTCATTATATACTGTTGCTATGGCAATAGATCCTGAGCTACAGAAGTAAAAGACCCCTATACCAAGGTGATTATTTTTCAGTTTACCTTTTCAATGATCCCATAATGGTAGGTATTGGCTATGTTTGTCCCATTGTGAACCAGGAACCCCTCAACTTATAGCAATTTAGATTTGTAAAACTACCAAACTGCTAGCTCTGGCCTCTGTGCTTATTAGTAGCTGATATCTAGAAACAAGCAAGAGATGAGCATGGGACATAAATATTTTTGCCTTTCCTTCCTTCTTATGACCAATCCTGATAGCTGTAGATTAGTTTTTAAACCTCTGCATAATGCATTTTTTAATTTTACCAATGATCCAGTGACTTTCTAGTTGATGATTATACCTTACTGTCACTCCTATAACCTCTAAAATATTCAAAAACACCCAACTAAGCAGGTTGAAAATAGTCTTTCATTGTATATTTGTAAAGTATTAGAGATCATTTCAATCATGCTTTCATGAAGTGATGAACTGTTTGCCAAGAAGTGGGGATGCGGAGTTGAGAGAGTTGGTTTGTTATTGTTTAGATTGACATGTTGGATAAATAGTCGAGTGTCTAACTCCCTGGATTTGCTGTGATTGTACAGTTTTAAATAGCCAGAGTATAAGGGCCAGATCAACATGAGTCCCTTCCCACAAAGTTTTGGTTAAATCATCATTGGGACCTAGATTTCTTCAAAACCTAAATGAAAAGTATATAATATAACACTTGTCACAAATTTTTCAATAATATTTATCATGTACTTAATCTCATAATCCTAAATGTATAAGACCACCACCATGAGAAGTGGCTCCCACAAGCTAGTGTGGCTTGGACATGCCTGGAAGTCATGTGATCGTTCTAGTCTCCTTAAAATGCTGAGATGCCAAAGCAAATCCCCTTTCCATTTATTTAGTTACAGGTCCGAAGTAAAGGCAAGGCAAGATGTGAAACCAGACATCCGACAGCCTCCATTCACAGACTACAGGCAGCCCCCGCTGGACTACAGGCAACCCCCAGGAGGGGACTACCAGCAACCCCCACCCTTGGACTACAGGCAGCCTCCCCTGCTGGACTACAGGCAGCACTCCCCCGACACCAGGCAGTACCCTCTGTCAGACTACAGGCAGCCCCAGGTACCATAGCCCAGAGATCATGGCAACCCAGACAAGACTTACTAAAGTGCAAGGAATAAAACAGAGGGCAGACAGAGAAAAGAGCACCCTCTGGGATAGAGAGTCAGAGTTCTATTCCTAATTATGACATCAGGGTTAACACCTGCACTCTAAAAATGCATTGGATCAATAAATCTATTTCAAAATAAATTAGGACAATCCATCCATTCATCAATCAATAGTGGGTGGGTAGTAATGGGATGAACTAATCCCTGCTGACGTAACTCCCAGTACATTGCCTTGTCAATGTTTTTTAAATGCTCTCAGGTCTGGGGGTGTTGCTCAGAGGCAGAATGCTTGCTTAGGGTGTGCAAAGTACTGGGTTCCATTCCCAGCACTGCCAAAAATGGGCTCTTATCTGGGCCCTCAGAGTGCTGCTAATGCAGACAGTTTCACATTTGCCAGCAGTGGAGGTATTTTAGGTGCACAGTTCTTTACATGGCCCCCTATTTCCCACTTTGTGATAAAGGGCCAAGCTCTGTGCAGAAGGTAAAACCATTCTCTCCGGCACAGTCTCTGAACACCTGTCTGTACAGCCAAGGGTGCAGTTGTAACTATTTGTTGAGGATACCTCATGGAGATTTTCTTAACCTCACTGAGCTTCAGTTTCCTAAAGGGAGCATCTTCCTTACAGGTCAAAGTGAGGATTCAACATTTTTTTAAAGAAATCTAGACCAGAACTTAGTATCTAAAATATCCACTTCCTGGTAACTAGATAGCAAGGTACAAATTAAGTACAATTTCAACTCTGTCAGATTGCATTGTATTTTATTATAAATTAAAGTTAAAAGAGTTTAAGAACAGTGAAGATCAGGAAATCTTGGACATATTGCATTTTATGGAAAAGAGAAATTGATTTTGTACACTTCAACTTGATATTCAGTAGTCTGTACAACTGAGAAATGCAGTCAGAACCCATTAAATTTCACTTTTCTATTCTGCAAACTAATTTGCACACACACAATTGATATACTTATTTATGGTTCTCACAGAAGTGAATGAGAAAACTCAGAAGAGATGGTGTTAGGCAGGCCTATATGCAATAATTACATGTTTTTCAAGTAGGTTGACTATACCTGGTGGTTCTTTTTAAACAGTTCTAATCTGCTCAAACCTTTGGAATTGTGTCCTGCACTTTCATAGTTTGTGAAGTCAGATTACTTCTTCTCACATCATGTTATTAATTCCAAGAGGGAAGGAGAACGAGAAGCTAACCACAGAAGCTTCTTGAATACTAAAAATTATTTATTTCATTTTTCTGCCCAATCCCAAAGGATTTTGATTATTTCACTGTGGACATGGAGAAAGGAGCCAAAGGATTTGGATTCAGCATTCGAGGGGGAAGGGAATACAAAATGGATTTGTACGTGTTGAGATTGGCAGAAGATGGGCCAGCAATAAGGAATGGAAGGATGAGGGTAAGAACAGTCTCTTTTTTAAAGAATTTCTTGGTTCTGAATGAAAACCTCATTGTGCTTAAGAAGAGTACTGAGCTGGAGCTGGGGCTCAGCAGTAGCGCACTTGCCTAGTATGTGTGAGGCACTGGGTTCATTTCTCAGCACCACAGATATTTATTTTATAAATAAAATAAAGATCTATCAACAACTAAAATATATACATATTTTTTAAAAAGATGAGTGCTGAAGCCTGCTATCCAAAAGCAGACTCCATGCAGATTCCACCCTCTTTCTATTTCATAACTCACTTTTTTAAAGTTTTGTTTAAGCACTAAGAATTGTAATTCTCATTTTTCTACTTATAACCTTCTAATGGATAAGCATCAAAATAATGTTATTTTTATAAAGAGAAAACTGAAGAAAATGGACAGAGTAAAGAACTGTAAGAAATAGCTTAAAACGGGGACATGGCTCCATAATTTTTTTCTATGGTTTGATGATTCCTTTTTCACTGAGATCGAATCCTTTAAATTTTATTTTTCATTTTATGCTCTATCTCCCTGTTTATTAATCATATGGTCCTGTGTTTCTTTGGAAATATTTCTTTTGTGCCAACTGTCTTTTGTTTTGCCATGGGCAGACAGAAGAAGTAGGAAAAAAAAAGGGGTTTGGGGTTGTTCTTAAAAATAGTAGCCGTCAGAAACTTTTCAATCAGAGTGTAAACTGAAGGTCGATTTTTTAATGTAATGATTGCTTTTAGGCATTAAATTGATGGAGTAATTGATTCTTCATCTGAAGGGACAAAACTTGACAATGTAGAACATTAAACAATCTCTCCATGGAAACTGGTTATGCACATAATAAAGGTTAGTTATCATTGCAAATAAAATCTAGAATTCGCTCTTGCCCTCCCTCCTTGCACTTTTTTTGCAGGGGAGGAGGGGTACTGGGGATTTAACGCAGGGTCACTCGACAACTCAGCCACATTCCTAGCCCTATTTTGCTATTTGGTATTTTATTTAGAGGCGGGTCTCACTGAGTTGCTTAGCACCTCGATTTTGCTGAGGTTGGCTTTGAATTTGTAATCCTCCTGCTTTGACCTCCTGAGCCACTGGGATTACAGGCTTGCGCCAACATACCCAGCCCCTCCTTGCACTTTAAGTTAATGCAGAAAAGCTGTGACTTTTGGGTTCTAGACCCTCAGATTCCTGTGCTAAGCCTCACCAGCCAATTGTTCCTGAATGATTGAACTTGTTATTTCTGCCACTGAGTCTTCCAGGTCAAGGATTCACCTACAGTACAAAAGCAGAAAGAATGCAAATCATGTCTGTTTCACTCCCTCCCCCTCCAATTCTTTGACAACTGGGGATGTGGGGTGTCAGAGTGGGAATTTGATTGCAATGCTGATTCCAGACTGCAGCTTTTGCCCTGATCCAGCAGGCCTCCTCTTACCCTGCCTGGATGTGGTTTCATGATAGGCCTCCACATGGTTTGACTTCACAGCTTCCCTCTAAATCAGAAGGGCACTTTCCTAACAAGCTGCAAATCCAGCTCACAAGTGATTAAATAAAACAAAATTAATCTGTGCAGTACTGATGAAGTCAGCATAGCACAAAGACCAGGAGTGAGAAGACCAGAGGCCTGTGAGGTCAGATAAGGACCCCCATCCTTAGTGGACCTCAGAGATGTCCTCTGTGGGTTCTAAACAGTGGCCACATCTTTTAACAAGAGGTCTAAATGGTCTGCAGCTGGATGTATACAGTACATACATATAGTAATCCCAAGGCAAAGAAGCCTAGATAGGAAAGTGTCCTTACATAAAAAGGATTACTCTTTCCTATAGTGGTTCTTAGTGTGGTCCCAGGCATAAGCATTCCCTGAGAACTTGGAAATGCAAATTCTCTAGCTCCACCAAGACCTGCTAAATCGGAAACTCTCACCAATTATACCAGGCTATGTTTTAAGAAGCCTTCCAGGTAAATTTGGTACAAACTGAAGTTGGAGGACCACTCAGCTAGAGGGAGCTGTCATAACACAGATGTGACAGGCAGGATACGTATGGCTTCGGCTTTGTCTGTCCTACCTAGGCCCTTGTCTAAGGTTTCCATCCTGTTCCAATGGGCTATACCTGAGGACCTTAGGTCCAAGTAAACTCACTCAGATTTAGAATTCTGTAAGCAGGTGCTCAATTTTATGAGAGATGCTATTTCCTCTGGCATGTGATAAAAATGAGTCCTCCACCTGGGTTTCAGAAAATAGATTTTCACTTCTGGTCAAAGATTATTAAAATAGCCAATATTTCATCATTTTTGTGTCTTTCTTATAAAGCAATCTATTCTTCAAGTGTATAAGCTATCAAAAAGGAATTATTATGGCCAGTTTTAGATAATATGAGTTTACCTTGGGCCACTTTATATTATAATTTTATATACATAAAGCTACTACACACACACACACACACACACACACACACACACATACAGGTATTTTATTAATCAGGAGTCACAGGTATTTTATTAATCAGATTTCACTGGTTGGTTTTTATCTCTAGTCTTTAAGCTAAGATTGGGAACTTGGCAGGGAAGGATGGGAGACTTATCTCTGCTATTTATAAAGCCTACTTGATATTCAAGTGTTTGGGGTTTTCTTACTTATGGATTTTTACGACCCCAGTGCAGAACTTGTCTAAGTCAATGGACTCCATGTGAGGGTAAGAGGCTACTTCATAATACTAATTCAACCATGCTCATATTACCTACTCTCAGAATTAGACAGTATTTTGGATTTGCAAAGATTGTTCTTAATCACAACATATAATTAATTCAGATCTTATGTTTATGCTTATAATCATATTTGATCATTTAAAGCTAATCTTTTCTATTCCATTAGTGCTTTTCAAAAACTAACAATAATTGACAGAATCATATAAGTATTTCAGCAAGAATAAGGATTGATCAATACTAAATGATTTAATGGTTTATTTAAACTAATGCATAAACTAAATAATATATATGTTACCAATTTAAAAAAATTCACAATAAAATTAATCTGGGACCCATTTCTCCCCTTATTATAAAGTTCTACCTTGATACTACTAGTTTCCAGATACATATAGATCTGAAATACCTGTGCAAATGATGCTTTGTAAAGCAGCTGTTAACTGTATGGTTATTATGGCTTGGTTTGTAAATTTCCAAACTCCTGAGAAAACTCAGTGAACTAGAAATTCATGGAGTATCATTTAAGAATATCTCAAAAAGAAAAACTAGCTCAAAGTTCTTCCCAGCTTCTAAAAGATCCATGTTTCTCCTTGTTAATGTGATTCCTTTGTCTTTCATCTCAATGCATTATTTCTTCTGTGTAAAAGCTAAACACACACATACTTCATTATCAAATATGTTTGAAGGATGCTGTATATTTTTTTCTTCTTTTTATGATCAGGAACAGAAGGGAAAATTAAGGGAATGGTCTAATATTAAGTCTCTAATTAATTACATCTCAAATATTAATATTAATTAATTAAATCTCCAATATTAAATCTGGCACAGTAAAATTGTGCAAATCAGAACTACTACCAAAGAAATGGGTGATTCTGAAAAATTATTTTGTGTAACAATAAATGGATTAATATGCCCTTTGGTTAGGGATACAAATAATACTACTTTTGAACACTTTGCTAATACACCAGATTTTATCTTCTGAACCTGAGACTTTTCCTGGTCTTATGTGTTAGTCTGGTTGTGGGAAAATGATGCCCCAGCACACTACTAAGAATACAGTGAAACCCAGGTACAGTGGGTGCCAGAGGAGATAGCTAATGTGGAAATAAGGATACCCTTCTCCTTTGGTACAAAAAAAATTTTAAAGCTTGTCCTTAGCATTCAGGTGTCACTCAAGAAAAAATATCAATGGTCCTTCCACCCAGGGACTCTTTCATGGATCAAGTGAGAGTCAGGTAGACATACCCCCAAAGCAAATCCTAGCTGAATGATCTCATTTTGGTATTTCCAGGGACCTGAAGCCATGAAAATTATTCTAGCAGTGATCTTCAGCAAATTAGGCTGCTTGCCTTTCAAATTGATTAATAAATATTCCCACAGGACATAGTTGTTTTTATTTTTTCTCCTTCAAAAGCATTTTATGTTTGCTAAATTTGTTTGCAAATCAAATAAATACCATCTTTCCTCTTGATGGAAAATGTTAGAACAGGCAAGTAACCTAAGGAACAAGGTCTAATGAGTCTCTCAAAATATGAGAATGTATAAACAGCAAATCCCATGACTAAGTAGTAGGGACCACAGATAATGGCTTCTTCTGAGAGTCAGATTTACAAGCAAAATTCCAAATAGGAGGAGAATATGAAAAGCTCTTTTTCAGAAGATTGGTTAGGTGCTTATTTAAGACCTTAGGACCCCCTATATCAGAAACATAAGAACAACAAAATAAATAAATCCAAAGATTTACTAAAAATATTTTGAACCCTTCCAAACCCTCAGCTCTACCCTCAATCTCTAAAAGAGCAAACTAGATACATTTGCTTTTTTCAGATTACAAATATCATTTCACTTTGTTGAGCCTCAGTTTCCTATAAAATCGGAAGAATAAAGTCTATTCATAGGGTTGCTGTAAGACTTTGAGAAATATATCAAGAGATATTATTGATTTTTTTCATTAAGATAAAAAATGAGGCATTAGTTTGTGGGAGGAGAGCAAGGGACAGATAATAAGGTAAATCATAGACTAGAATTAGAGGAACAAGGAAAAAACGTTACATTTAGAGAAAATAGTTACTTTGTCAAAACACAAATGGAAAGTAGCATGTTTTGAGTTTAATTACTAAATGGCTTTTCAACACTAATTAATACTGATGTGTTAAAAGTTGAGAGATGTAACTGGGGTAGAGGGCTTGCCTACCACAACCACCAGCACCACATTCACACACACACACACACACACACACACACACACACACACACTCACACACACTCACACACACATACAAATTGAACAGACAAGCAAAA